TATCGGCTTTGGTTTCAATGGTTTGAAAGTCGTGATTTTGATATCAATGACAAAAAACATCCTGGAGGACCAAAAGAGTACAAATATAATGAATGAAAACCAAGCTCAAATTTTCAAAGCATTTTCAAACAGCGTTGCAGTTGATGAATCAATTGCTGCTAGACGCTGCGGGTAGGAAAGATCCAATAGGAGAGAAAATGTGAAAGGGTGAAAAAATTCAAATTTCAACATCGCGGTTTCATTACTTACCAAGCAAAAAAAGAAGAGGCTTCTGTGGCCAGCATTTGGCATACAGGCATAGCGCCCTTTGATTATCGCCAGATCAGGTCAGCACAGCATGGCCCGACACGCGGTTTTAAAATGCTGAAGAATTGCGAAAATGGGCCGATGATTGAATCGCTGCCAAACCAATATCGTTCTTTCGTCGTTGCAAGGAAAGATGGGAAAAAGTTGTAGCAAATGATGGAAACTATATTAACTATATTGCCTAATATCCGTTGTATCAACTTCTCTCAATAAAATCCTATTTGAAGTGAAAAATTGATTAAATTACGTGCAAGCATCTAATAATATTAAGCTAAGGTTTATTTTGCTTTAAAGTGATAAATGAGAAATGACCTAAGAAAGCTGAAGCCTTCTGATATCGTAAAAAGATATTATTTTTGATATTTCATGATGGAAATTGATTCGTAATTATAAATTGACAAGAAATCAATCTTACCAAATTTGGACTACCTAGGGTTCTTTTTTGAATACCATCGCATATGAGGATTCTGAGGAAGAGGAGGACCATAATTGAGGCCATATGGGTCTATTTCTCGGCCCCCCTCCATATAAGATATCACATGAGTAGTAGTAATATTTTATAATGGAAATGTATCCATACATAAGGAATTTGGATCACATAACTGTATTGAAGTGAAAATAGCTATCATACGAATTGACGGCAAATGTCAATTCGAACCTTTTCATATTACACACAAATATTACACACACTTCGTGTTTGGCATGTGTAGGCGTAAAGAGATCGACACGGTTAACTGGGCAATTTAACTGAATTTAATTAAGTTATTATAAGAGATTAGAAATTGTTATAAGATATTGAAATAATCATATAAAAGCAAGATATTGAGTAATTGTACTCCTCAAATTCGGACATAATTAATTAATTTAATTTAATCGCAAAATCAAAAAATTTTTACTCCACTTAAACACATAACGTCTCTTTCAGTACAATATTTCTTTAGGAAATTTAGGAGGATTACTATACAATTGAACGTAAAATTGCTATCGCTCCAGTAAGATATTGAAATAAATATGCTCGCTATAGAGCTATCTTTATTTGTGTTCAAGTAAAACGTTCACTATTATGTTTAGTAAGCTCAATTGCTATTAGTATGGCTGTATACCAAGTGATCCTTTTATACACAATTAAAGCTGAGGTTGACATACTTTCCTCAACTCTCCAAAATACAAGTCGATCGATATAAATTGTGTCAATAGGTATACAACCAGTGAGCAATATATTCAAACCGTAGTGTGAGTTGCGGTTATTGCCTCGCGCACAAAACTAATAGGACTCCTAAGTTCGAGTTTATTACATAGGTTATTATTATTATTGTCTGAGCCGTAATTTTATTAAGGCTAGTGACTTTGGATATATTCTACAATACAATGGCACGATCAGTCCGATGTATATATAATTGAGCTATTACAAGCATGCATAGTTACGAACTGATGGTTGAAAGCTTAATAAAGCTTTTGATACGCAATAGCGAAGAATTCTCTAAACCTTTACAGTTCCACTAAAAAACAGTCTAATTAACCTTAGATCGGATTTGGATTTGATGAATTAAAGTATTTCGTACATGTATTTCAGAATATGGCTTTGAATAATTTGTATGAATCTGTCGGCTCTGTGTGAATAATGAAATTTTTAATATTTGAGAAGGTCGCTTGAAAAGTTTTATGCAAATTTTTTGAAAAAAACTGTTATCGCGTACCATATTTACGTTTATCGTAGACTCGAATCTAATTCACTTTTTCCGTACGGCTTGTACTTTACTTTCAGATACATTATGAAAATCGCCGTTTACTCTCGAAATAAGGGATGACGAAAATCAAAGTTTCCTTACAATATTATGCATCCTTATTATGGCGCAGTTGGCATGATCTTCCGCAGTTAAAATGGAGGTAACGTTGAATCCGATATTGATTTATCACAAGATTGGAAAACTCAAACTCGGCGCCAGCCTGTGAGACAAACCAAAAAGTCCATTTCCATATTATCAAACCATTTATGAAGATGGTAAGCAAAATCAACCTTCAAACAGAGATTTGTGAAATATGCTTACAAGCAGTTGACTCCTCGCGATCGCGAAACAATAACTACTCGTAATGAAAAGCATCTGCTATTAACCGTAACTTAAGCTTAGATTGCTCAGAAGCCCAGACTGAATGAATGAACATTGTAGTGCATACATTTGAATTTACATTGTAAGCAATCTTTCACAGGAACGTATGAAGCATTTGCTCGCAAAAACTTTTCATATATATTTTTAAAGGCATTCGAAAGAAATTCATGAGCCATGGATAGATGTTGTATATCCCTATATCTACTTATAGCTGTAATAGCGAATATCAGCTGCCCTGCACCAGGAAGAAAAAAAACGATCCTCTTGAGTCTACTTAAAACGCTATTCGCGTCTTTCTTTCCAGCTTTCACTTGTTATAAAAGAAAAAAAAAAAAAAAAAACAACTACTCAAGGCTTTTGCAAAAGTCTTTTAAGGAATTAAACTATTAATCTATTACTCAGTTATAATTCCATTCAATCATTTTCTGCACGCTTTTGTGCAATAAATAACGCATTCTCGAAATTGAGGTTATTTTGTTATATCCAAATGTAGTCGATTCGATATGATCAGCTTGCTTGCATCATACTTTGTTTGTGAATTGAAATAATAAATCGCAATGAATTGCGATGAATTGCTTGTAGAAAATGTAATCAAGAATTTTCCTTTAATAACTCTAAGGCACTACTAAGGCACCCTCACCAGAACGAGCAGACAGCAAACTACCGTTAGTGTATCATTTAATTTAATTTCTTCACTTCTTAACATATCTTTTTTGCTTTTCTTTTTTTTTTTTCAATGTTAATGTTAAACTAACACCAACTTAATTTAATGGCTTATCAGCACACACACACACACACACACACACACACTTATGTACACGAACGTTTAGATATACAAATCGTATCAATTGTTAGCACGTGCCATGTGACCCGAAACACATGTTTTTCATTATTATAAATAACTTTGTATTGGTGGGTAACTATCTGGATATAAAGACAACAACAAATCTTAAATGTTCTCCTGTTGATCCTTTGTATACAATACCGCAGTAAGCGTTCGTTGTGTTGCTCTTAACTTACGAGCATACAACATATACGCACACATAGTTCGGAGAAAAGTTATTAAATGTATGTCGAACGCTAGTGATGCTAAATGAAGTTAAACGCTTTACACTAAGAACAAAGGCAATAACGCTAACCATAAATATATAATAGAATAAAGCAATTAAAGGTAACAATACGAAACAGGTGACAATTTTTAGTTATCTAATCGTAAAATATGTACAAAATATTGAAATCCCTGAGTAAATTGTTACTTGCCATTCTCGCCAAAGCTCCATAACGAAAACTTTCCTTTACCTTTTATTTAGTTTTTAATAAATATATAAAACATATGTATGTATCATGTAATATATGTATATGTATACCGTGTAATATATGTATATATAATATAAAAACATTATAAAGCATATAGCGCCGACTTTCCCCCTGTCCGTTAATATGCTTTTACCATATTATATAGCCGAACCAGCATATTTTGTTTTCATGGATTCTGTTGATTTTCATCACGACCAACCCTAAACCACAAACATTGCCAATAATTAAGGCATTAAGTGCTATTATTAAGGGTTGAAGGAATAAAAAATCAAAAAACGAAACGATCGTTTAATTATAATTAAAAAGTACTTCTAATGCAATTCGCACCCAAAATAGCAAAGAGGCTCAGCTCAATTGCACCACTAGTAGTGAAATTATGATGATAACGTTGATAAAGGTAATCATAATCATTGATAGTGATACTGGAGAGACAGAGAGAGAGAGAGAGACAGAGAGAGAGAGAGATAGAGAGAGAGAGAGATAGAGATAGAGGAAGAGAGCAAAAATGAGAAATAGAAACCAATAAGGAACAACAGCGAAACAACGAAAACGTTTAGAAAAATGTACACTTGCTAGACAACATGATGTTGCACTTGCTATAACAAAAACACGTATGTACAACATATAATAAAAAGTCCTTAGCATTCAATCCACCACCATTGATTGCTCTCGCATTGTTAACTAACTACGCTAACAGTAATAGTGAATAGCAAGTGTTCGTTCGGGTTATACAAACTTTGGCACATCGAGCATTACATTCATCTGCAAATCCTGGGAACAGAAACACTTGTTGGCATGTATCGCTATTGTTATTGTTGTTGTCGTCACCGCTGTTGTTTAGTTCTTGTTTTGACACTGCAAGCCGTAACAAATTGTTTAGAGAGAAAAGCCCATGCCGCCGGTGTTACTGTTACCAAACGACTTGCCTGTATTTAAGGGTCTTTTCGCAAATATATATTTGTTCAGGGAGGACGATGTTGATGATGTTCGCGCAGCATCAATTTGCAAATGCTGCCAGCATATAAAAGCAAAGGACATTCCAACTGGAGTTTCATAAACAAATTGGAACTCAAACGGCAAACAATCGAAAACTTATTAAACGCTAAACAAAATATGTTTCCAATCTTACCGACAACGACAAAAAGAACCGAAACGATTACAACATCCAACAATCAAATTAGTTCAATGAATTCTGTTTGCGTAACTTCGCAGCATTCTAATAAACGTAATAATAATAATAACAACAACAACAACAACAATAATAATAGCATGATCTTTCGCATTGAGCATATATTACCCAGAACAAGTGATACTTCGCCATCTACTTCGGTCACGACGATAATTAACAGTGACACAACAACAAGAGATCCAAACATTTTAGTGCCAATCAAATCGACAAAGAAGGTGCAGCGAGCTGGAGTGCATGTAGCACAATTTACGCCAAAAAATACAACAACACAAACCTTCCCAAGCGAAGTAATAATGGCAGTGAATACTGCGCAAGACACTGACGCAGCACGTGCTTATTGTGCTCTAGCGGAAAATAGTAACACATTAAACGTTACCGCCGAAATTATGCGTAAAATTAAACTCTCCGAGGACATACATAGTTATAATGCTCTTTACGAGATGGCACAAAAGGATCAAATGCATTTGCGTATAATACGTGAGATACCGAGAGATGAAGAGATTGTAGCCTGGTTTAGCGAAGATATTATTTTAATGATGTCGATACCGTTCTTAACGCCGATCAACATACAAGGTAAGTTAAATTGCAATTATCAGCAATAATAGCCGACAATAGATGAGAACCAAAGCACTTTATGACATAATGATAAATTCGTATCCGTGCATTTTGCAGGTAACAATCGCTATACCTGTCATTTATGTCATTTGACGTTTGAAACACCGAATCCTTTGAAAATTCATTTGGCTCTGAATTGTGGCCGTCACAATATTGATATATTATGGTTACGCTTGCATTACGCTATCAAGGCTGAACAATATATGAATTTGCAAACACCGCAACAACAACAACAATTATTCGCAGAGCGATCAATATCAACTTCGATCGCGAACTTAACATCAACCAGCCTTGTGCCGCAAGTGTCACGTTTCTCTGCGTTTAAACCTATATCTTCGCTATCGACATCTAGCAATATTACGATCCCAGTATCGGCAAGCGATGAAACTATTGCAACAACAACGAATTCATCTAACATTTCATTTATACCCACCATGAGTAATGCAGGTTTATCGCATGTGCATCTTTTGCAGCCTAGCTCAACGAGTGCACTTAACGCTGCGGCTCAAATCGAGGCAATCGTCTCTAATATGGGCGCCTCGAAACAGGGTCATCTTTGCATATACTGCGGCAAAGTATATTCACGAAAATATGGTCTCAAAATACATATACGGACGCATACCGGCTTCAAGCCATTGAAATGTAAATTTTGTTTACGCCCCTTTGGCGACCCGAGCAATCTAAACAAACATGTGCGACTGCATCTACAGTCGAGCGTTAGCAGTACGGCCACAAGCCCGTTAAATGAAAGTCTATATCACTGTCATTTGTGTAATAAAACTGTAGCCCGCAGACGTGACCTGCAACGTCATCTCGAAACGCGACATGGTTCCAATTCGAATACCAATCACAACGGGACTAACGATACAGCATCGAGTACCTAAAACTGGCTAAGGCATTACGTCCTCAAGACACCAATAGAAGAAAGCAGAAAACAAAAGAAACAAACTTTCAATGCAAATGTGTACAAAAACAAAAAAAAAAAAAAACAAAACAAAACCGAATCTCCTTATGTGATATTAGAATTAAATAAGTAAAAAAAAAAAACTAATATATATTCGTAAGCCTTAGGGCAAATCTTGCATACCCACCGGTAGAAATAGACAATTTTATATTAAAGCTAAGTAAGCCTATTTTACGCTATATTTTTTCTCTAACCGTTCCAGTACAATTTTATATGCATTAGCGCTTGCGTGTAAGTAAAACATATTCAAAAACTGAAAATTAAATTAAAAATGTCTACAGAAAGCTTCATCTCTCTTCTAAATATATTTGATTCGTTTTATATCGAATCCAACTGACAGATAGACGGAGGCCAAGGCCCATCTTAATAGGGGTTCGCAGATCATAAATATGAAATGACAAATTTAAGATTCACTTACCTTCTATCTTAGCCATGCATTACTCTAGCGCAGCCTAGAAACTTTCACTGCATGCACAGAGTTCGTTTTCCAACGTGAATGGACACAAACGGCAATAAAAGTAATAACTGATTTTTTTCCGCTTCTCTTTCACATCTTTTAAATGCAACCTTTCAGCGTTTCCAGATCTTTTCTTAAATAAAAAATATCCCTTCTTAAATTCCTTCCTTTACTTTCTATTTTCTTCTCTTGAAATACATACACACATTACGAGACCGAAACAATTGACGCAGACGGAAAGCAAATTCCAGCTTCCTGCTCAATTGATTGAGCGAACTCTCTATTGTTCAACTTGAATCTAGTCAACTGGTGTTCGATCCCATTCAAATAATCCTATATATCTTTATATTCGATATACGTGTAGATAGCCGCGTGCAAATAATTTCCTTCATAATAAATCTAATTATGGCGGGGAAGCCTGGAAACTTTGCCAAGAAGATGCAAGGGAATTTATTTTGAAATGAAAAATGCCTTTTAGTTTAAAGATATATTCTAAAAAAACTAAGTCTCTGTTGGAGACCGCAAGTCATTACTAAATACCCTACACCACTTTGCTTACGTTTTTGAGCTAAATGCCATCAAAAATTTCTCAAAAATTGCGTCGTGTAGGTCGAACAATAAAACAGACACAGAGACAGATGGACAGACAAGCTTAAATTGATTTCAGAAAGCGATTCCGAATCGATCGGCATAATGAGAGGAGGACAAACCTTGTAACTAACCAGCATAAAGCTCTCCTTTTTTTTGCTTTTGACACAGAGGTATTCTCACTTTTTCTTATACTGTGGATATGCCCTCTGACTGATTTCGCCTATTCTTGGAGAACTATGTGCAGTAAATTTTAAAGAGATCAGCAAAAAATGTGTGTAAAGAATGAAAGAGATTTAAAATATATTTGCTATACCTATTAAGCAGACGGACAGGCGGATTCATAATATATATTATATTTTGCAGGGTCTTTGAAGCTTTTCTCTAGCCGCTACAAACAAATTCAACGCATCACCATTCTTCAGTGACGGATATGGAAAGAAGAAATTGAAAAAAAAAATGGTATTACTTAACAGAAATTTTAACAAACGTCTGAGATGAAATGCAATTATTCATATAACTAACTAGTTTGGAAAATAAGACGTTATATGGAAACTGGTCGGAAAAGGGATCCGATCCGAACTCAATTTTAATAGGACTCATCTTTGGCCCAAAACACGTCAGTGTACCAAATGTCAACAAAATACCTCATAAACGACTGGCTGCGGATTGCATACAAGAAATCAACGTGGACAGAGGGACCGACAAGCTTAGATCGATTTAGAAAGTGATTCTGGCTAAAAGATAGGTCTATCTCAAATCCCGCTGCGTGTTGCATACACGTGCACTAACTTTTTTAACATTTTTAAATGTACACAAGAGGTGGATCTTTTCTTTTTTTCTTGGCGAAAGTCTCGCTTGCACTTGTTTTTTGCCATCCCATCTGTGCCAGTAATAGACGAAAGATGAAATTTTCAAAATTCACAGACATAGCTTAAAAAGTATTAGAGCAATTTCGACTCCCAATATATTTATCAGGTTGGTTGACTCGACGTAACTGATATAGATCATCAATTAAGAATCACAAACGCGGAGATCGGACGGAGTCAAGGGAAAAGTATGAAAATGACCTCGCGACATAGAACTGATACATTTCTCTTCTTCCTCTTCCTAATCTTTTCAATACAAATTTTTTTTCATCTAATTTTAATTATTTATTTGAATTAATAATATAACTGTATGTAGGTATGTATGTAGGTACGTATTCATGTATAATATAATAATATAGTGTATGTGTTTATCTATTCTATGTGTATGCTTCTATTTTTTTTTTTGTATTCATTTTGAATCATAAATTGTCACAAAATCTAAAATTTTTTATTTGTTTTTTTCTATTTTATTTATTTATTTATTTTATTTTTTATTTTTTTGTTTTTCTTTCACATTTATTAGATAATATAATACAAACACACACAGTTTATTAATAAGAAATACATAATAATAAGTATATAGTGTTCAACTAGAATTTTAGTTTTGTGTACATACGAGTATTGAGAAAATATTGTACATGAGTTTTTTCCGTTTTTTTTTTTCTTTTTCTTTTTCTTTTTTTTTTTTCTTTTCTTTTTTAAGTCGTGTACATAATTATTGTACCTATGGATTTACGTATGTATGGATGTGTGTATGCGTGTGTGTGTGTGTGTGTGTATTTGTATATGTACGTATGTATGCTGTTGTTTGTAATTTTTATATATTATTTAATATATTTTATGCTTTATGTTTTACAACAAATTGCTATCAAAAAATGCTTTAAAAAACTTAAAAAATGATCACATAATTACAGTTTACTTTCGTTATTATGAATGCATTGGTTGGTTTGGTTTGTTTTTTTTTTTTTTTTTTTTTATTAATATATTTTATATATATAAATTTTTTTTTATAGTTTTTCTTTTATTATAATTAATATTATTAGTTTTTTTTTTTTTTTTTTCTCTCTAACACACAAAGTTCAAAGCTCTTTATTTATTTATCAATATTGGAATCTTATCTCTAAATAAAGTTTTGTTTTACGAATTGAACTAAGAGTAGTGGGCGGGGAGCTTACACACTAGGATATATTTACCTATGAATAGGATACGTATGTATGCATGTGCAGATTATACACTGAGAGTAGTTCATTTTCAAAAATTGAGCAAAACAAAATTGAGATCGATATTTGTGTTAATTTGCATTTTATCAATTGAGAAACATTGTCTTTTCTTGTTATTACATTATTTGTTTTTTTTTTTTGGTTTGGTTTTTTTTTTTTTTTTGTTTGTGTTGCTTCTTTGTTAAGGTTTTTTTAACTTCGTTAATGGTGAGACCTTGGCTCTGTGAGCTATATACTAAACAATTTTCTTTTACATGATTACACAACAGAACACGTCGATATTATTTCCAATTGATATTAATTACAATTTTTAAAACGCGTCTACTTCTAGATATACACACACACATATATGAAATAATTCAGATTTGAAAGTAATTCAAGACATGGAAAATTAATCTAATACCGCACATTAAACTTGGAAACATCTTTTAGCATAAGTATAACGTCCTAGTTCTTTTTTTTTTTTTTTAATATTTTACTTTTGTTTGTTTTTATTTTTTTTTTTTATATTTTATTTTTATTACGGAACAAGGCACTTTATCCATTTAATAAAGTTATAGAATGAATACAAGTCGTTATATCAAATAAATATGAAAATCGAAGGCATAAGGGTGGCGCTGGCCGTTCTCAAATGCTTCGAATGGTTTCGGATTTAAAAAGAGGGGAGAAAAATTCTTTACAAAATGTCTGATAAAGATAAGAAAAACTTATTCTACCCAATATCCCCGACTAGTTATGATTACATTGCATTATTGATCTAAAATGAAAAACAGAAATTGGCGGTTTCCCTCCGATGATTGGTGCTCACCTATCCAACGCACATAAGGAATATTGTGCATATGCTACTATGCCAGAATATTAGGTACATTTTTATTTAATCTAAGACACAATTACCGATTATACTATATACGCCGACCACGCACTTGTATATATATATATATATATATATATACATACTTGGGATGGATTCTTGGATTAATTTCGGAGTATTGCATATATAAATGGTAGGAGAAAATGAGCATAAGTTGTCGCTGATAAAAAGGAGGCTTTTCCCCGAAACCGCGCGAGGCCTTTTATTTAGAAGAAATATATATAAAACATGTAAGAAATTTGCACTCAGGTGTAATCGTACCTTTTATACCCATCACCGTGATCCTAAATGAAAACGAAAAGAACTCAATTTTGAGTCTCTATAATATTGAGCGGACGCAGTCGATTTCTTCTCTTTTTTGAATAGAAGTGGAAATTTATATGGTGTATGTGTTGTACTTTACTACTCATACTCGGAGCACGGAGCAAAAAATACGGAGAGCAGAGGTGTTCACAGCTTTCATAACACAGGCGAGTAGAATTTTTGTAGGCGTGTTCTTTGACCGGTTTAGGTCGATTTCAAATTCTATTTCAAATGCGAAGTCAATGTCTTAATTTTTGCAAATGGAAGAATTTTTACTTCAGGTACTACACAGTTGTGCAAGCAGACAGTTGGACAGACGAACAGACAGAGATGTTTAGCTGCATTCCAAATTTGAAACTGAGCAAGGACGTTTTTTAAGCTTGCTACTGTGCGTTATCGAACTTTGGAAAAAAATGAAAATTGCGGAACGTTATAAAATTGAGTAGACATGGCACTTTTCTAGATGTACTAAATCATCGGCCGTACAATACAAATATTAAAATTTTTTTAAATGTTTCTGCGGTAATTTATGAGTAACTAGTAAAAAACAAAATTTTTATTCCTTTTGAAAAACAGGGATGTTCTCAGCTTACGTAGTACTATAGACGTATC